TTTTTTCTTGTTTTCATTTGAAAAGAGTTCATGATCAGGAGGATAATTAGAGAAGTCCATCAAATATGAAAAGTTTTTCAAGTCCATCATAATATCCTCTGTTTTAATTTGATAGATTAAACTATCAGTATCAGTATAAAGAAGTTGGACGTTATTTTCATAATATGGTTTGAAAGTCTCGTAATGTAAGTGATACATTTTCAGCTTAGCAAGCTCTAATACGGTAAAGCCGACCGCTATCGGTTTGTCCATTTTTACTAAGTCGTTTTTCATTTGGAACAGTGCTTTATTTTCATCTAAAATCACGAATTTCTTGACTAAGTTCTTCCTCATTTTCCTTTCAGCTTCGATGTCTTTCAGTGCGATTTCCACTTTAATATGCTTTCGTTTATCCTCAATGGTTTTTCCATATATTGAATTCACGAGAAGTTTCCAAAAATCTTTTTCGAAATCATTGTTTGCCGATTGTCTCTTTAAAGTACAAAAATCAACATACTCAGCTAGCCATGGCGATTGGTTGAACTTGATGGCACGGTGAACCTTTGTAACTTTTATCCCATGTTTCAAATAGAACTTTAGAAGTTCATAGTGAACAACATACTTTATCTTAGGAAGAAATGAAGTCACCAACTTCGTTGATGGAATTGCTTTGACACCGTTTTCTTTAAGTGAGCTTAAAAGATTATGTTGGTATTGGCTATACATGGTAGGATTAACACATAATTTTTCAGGGATCATTGGGAAATCGGAATGGAAATCGTGAAGTTCAGGTGGATACTCGAGATCAACTTCAAGTATATATCCTTGATCAGCATCATTAGGTGTTGATAAGATACGATCTATTGTATCATCATTCACATCAACCCAGGAAAATCCATCAACAGGTAAGTGCTTAGACATCGCTTCACCATAAAGGTTATTGACATCCAAGTATAGAATATTACATTTGGCTTTTCACAGTCATATTCAGTCATCACAGGTATATTTGCTTTAGCCTGTCTTTTACTAACCATTGTAAGTCCACCTCGTATTCCTTGCTCCATCATCAGAAGCATATCGACATCTGAGAACAATTGAAGCTCAATTTTGGTGGTTTTTAAAGCTGCTGACCATGTAAGTCCGGGTGAAGAATAATGATGGAGAGGATCGATACCGAAATTTTGTAAGCTCATTTGTCTGAAACTATCAAAAACGGATGCTAATAGAAGAACGTCAGTTTTCAAATACACGTTGTGAAGATCAGCTAGAGTGTGACATCCAAACTCTGTCCAAACACTCTTTACATGATTATAAACTTCATCAGAAATAATTGAATCAGTCAATGTTGAATAGAATTTTTCTTTAAGTGGTAATTCAGTTTCTTCAAATCTCTTCAATGAATCCAAATATTCGTATGGTAGACATCCTTTTTTCATAAGAAGTGATAGATCAAAAGAGTCAAATACTTGTTTTAGGTATTTCTCCTTTTCATTGAAAGTGAGATTAGTGGATAAGTTGTCGAGGCTTGTAGGTAGGAAAGCAAAACTATCCAAGAACTTAAAATTATCGATTGTGAATCCGATAAATTTCTCAGTTGTATGTGGAATAATGTTGATTGGATTTTTAACCATTGATGATTCAAGAGCTTTAATCACAATATGACCGTCAAAATTTTTCAAATTATGGAAAACGACTGGAATGTTAGTTGGTAATTTGTAATTAACGTTGCAATCCTGATGTGCAGCTCCACGAAATTTACCTGTGAGATGATCATGATCACGAACACGTAGACTTGAACCTAAAACTTTATAACAAATGTGACAATGTGTTGCTCTTTTGAATGCTCTCTCTCCTCAACCGTTAATGATAAAGGCTTAATATTCGTTTGGATGTGATTACGAATTGTAGGTTCAGCATTGTACAGACTTTCAAGGAATTTTTACCTACATCAGTACCAAGATAAAATCTTTATAAATTATTTTACCGGTCCAATCAACGGCTATGTATCCAAAACTACATGCATTGAGATCAGCTGTAATATTTAAATCGTCGTGATTCACTGTATTCAAGGTTTCAAAGTCTGCATAAATACAACGAAACTGTACTTCTTATTGAAATCTTTTCGCATGAGAATATCTTTTCCGATTTCAGGAAGTAATAATCGCTGAGCTCTTTTCAATTGACATGTCTCCATATGCTTTTCTATTGCATCTTGAACTCTAAATGACGATAAACATCTTTTACAGTGTAATCTGCTTCTTTTGTTGCTATTCGACACCAATCTGTTGAAATTTGTGATTGTATAATAATGATGATTTATTAGAAATAGATCAACATGTTTTTCCTTTTGATTGTCACTAATCAAGAGAGGTACAACGGCTTTGTTTTCAGGGTAACAACTGTATACATTGATTGAAATGTTATTTTTTCGTTCAAAAATATTGATTCTATCAACATGAACGATACCACGAACATCAGAAAAGTCATACTGATTGATATAAGATAAATAGTGACTAATGCGACCAGCTTGGTAATCAGCTTTATGAAGACCTATGAGGACTGAATACATGAAACAGTCATCGTCAGTCTGTGGTGAAATCAAACATTTTTTGTTTTTGATGAATGATGGTAATTGATTTGATTCACATCCACCACGATAAGGCTTGTATTTTCCAACAGATATATCTATTGATAAAATATTTTCTATTGTCCAACCAGAACCTTTTTGAGTGAATTGATCGATTCGGTCTTGAATGAAGTCAATAGCATCATTCAACAGTTCATCTTTATTCGAGCCGGATAAGCATGGTGTAAGATCAGATTCAAATGCTCCTTTTTCTCTTTTGTTACCATCAAGAACATTAACGAAACTTACAACTGTTATTAAATTGAATTTGATAGCTCCATATTCATCAATCAATGAATGCAAAAGTTTTTTTATCTCGCTAAGTTTTAATTGTACGCAAGAATTGAAATCTAAACCATCATTTTCAGTTGATCGATACAACAGCAAGTACTTTCTGAAAGCAGATTTGATGAGCTTGAAAGAGTCTATCTGATCTGGAGCATTTTCAGGATGAGAAAGTTATTGAAAGTCCGCAAGTTTTTATGTGATTGTCCAAATACTTTTTACGAGTATAACTTTTACCACATTTATTGCAAGCAATATTTGTTTGTCCGGATCCTATTTGGTTCGAAACTTCGACTCTGGAGATATTACTGTTAACTGGTTCAGGTTCTGGTACAGGTGATGGTACAGGTGATGGTACAGGTGATGGTACAGGTGATGGTACAGGTGATGGTACAGGTGATGGTACAGGTGATGGTACAGGTGATGGTACAGGTGATGGTACAGGTGAAAAGTGAATAGGTGAGGTACCTTGATCAATATGAGAAGCAGGAGGTGCTAATTGAATAACAGATGGTCTATTTATTGTCAAATTCAATGGTTGATCATTTTCTTCATCAGAAGAGATATCGATTGTAGATTGAGAAGATAATGTAATCTCTTCAGGTAAAACTCTTATCGGTGGTAATGGGAATAGCTCAGGTGAAGGAGCGTGGAATAATTCGTGAGCTAGAACCTCTTCTGACTCATGATTAACATTGTTTATAATTGGCTCACACACTGAGCAATCACTGGAGCAGCTTGATTGTGAAGACTGTGTGGATGGTTGTGGATCTGCAGTTCGCTGTCGTTTGGTTGGTGGTCCAGTGAAGGTATCCATCATTCTACAAGTCGAATAATTACAGTGACAATTATGCGAAAGGTAAGCACCCAATAGTTGAAAAATTGAGTCACAACAAGGACAAATGAATACCTATTGAAAGAAAATCAGATAAATTAATATTATCAAAGAGAAAATTGGGATCACTAGAGTTTTATGGTTGCTTAAACAAGTATTATTCAAAACGAAAAAATCAAAGTACAATGGTTAAGGATTTACAACAATAGGCTTATTCTGGATAGCCGCCTAGCTTATATAAATCTTTATATATTCTTTTAGCATTTTCTGCTTGGGCTTGGAGAGAAAGATATTCGTGATAATAAGGTCCATTGTTATTCTCATGTTGTTGAATTGATTTTTCCAGCCACCATCCCGATTTCTCGATAAGTTTAACCGATTTTGACCTCCACTTACGTCCTGATCGAATATAATGTAGCTTTTTTCTATCATCGTCATCAGGAAGATCCATCAGCTCTTGTCTCCGTCGTTTCCTTCGTTGATTAGCAGCTTGGTTTTGAGTTAGTTTAACAGGCACTGCAAAAGGAGGAACAGGTAAATTGAGAGGTTCACATTGTCCAGTTTTCTTTCTCCTTGGATCAGGTAATTTGGCTGTTGGCTCGAGTGGTATGATGATAACCTAAGGAAAGAAAGAGAAAACTCTAGTGATCCCTAAAAAAATAATATGAATTAGCATACTTACCATGATAAGTATTGAAGATAATCAGTAAGAATATCAGGAAGCAGGTATCAGGAACTAAGTATCTGGTATCAGCAAGAAGATATCTCGTATCAGGAATCAGCAAGTATTTGTCCCTAACAATCCCTAAAGGTATTCTCTATGTCTATTCAGGATCTTCACGATCTAACATCAAGGCAAGGAATACTTGAATTTACATTGAAACCCTTCCTTTATATATACTTGTAGTTGCACAACAATAGTTACGTCTAGAAATATGAGAATTCAGTTGTTAATGAATTCATGATATTCTGAATGCATTTTGCAAGATCATCATGAAGACATCAGTTTTCTGAACATTTATTTTCGAACAGAATAGAAAAATCATCATCCGTTTGGAAGATAAATGATGATAAATGAAAATCGCAAAAGTGTTGCCATCTTCTGGTGAAAAAAGAAAGTTGATTAGAAAGTGTCGCCATCTCTTGAGTGAATCAAAGTTTAGGCGCGAAGTTCAAATAGATAAAAATAAATTATTAAATCTGAATGGTGATTTCAATTGTGACCTATCAGCACTTAATTGTAGTTAATTGTGGTTAATTGTAACTTATCAGCACTTAATTGTAGTTAATTGGGCTTAATTGTGGTTAATTGTGACTTATCAGCACTTAATTGTAGTTAATTGGGCTTAATTGTGGTTAATTGTGACTTATCAGCACTTAATTGTAGTTAATTGGGCTTAATTGTGGTTAATTGTGACTTATCAGCACTTAATTGTAGTTAATTGGGCTTAATTGTGGTTAATTGTGACCTATCAGCACTTAATTGTAGTTAATTGGGCTTAATTGGGCTTAATTGTGACCTATCAGCACTTAATTGTAGTTAATTGGGCTTAATTGTGGTTAATTGTGACTTATCAGCACTTAATTGTAGTTAATTGGGCTTAATTGTGGTTAATTGTGACTTATCAGCACTTAATTGTAGTTAATTGGGCTTAATTGTGGTTAATTGTGACTTATCAGCACTTAATTGTAGTTAATTGGGCTTAATTGTGGTTAATTGTGACTTATCAGCACTTAATTGTAGTTAATTGGGCTTAATTGTGGTTAATTGGGCTTAATTGTGGTTAATTGTGACTTATCAGCACTTAATTGTAGTTAATTGGGCTTAATTGTGGTTAATTGTGACCTATCAGCATTTAATTGTAGTTAATTGGGCTTAATTGTGACCTATCAGCACTTAATTGTAGTTAATTGGGCTTAATTGTGGTTAATTGTGACCTATCAGCACTTAATTGTAGTTAATTGGGCTTAATTGTGGTTAATTGTGACCTATCAGCACTTAATTGTAGTTAATTGGGCTTAATTGTGGTTAATTGTAATCGTATAATACTAATTATATGTTAAATACACTTAATCATTATTTCCCTATTCAATTTCAGCGCAATTACTATATTATTACCTTTGTCCATATATAGATGGCGACAGTTTCATATTCTCTTTAGAATAATTTTTGTTCTCTTCCGCCATTTTAGTTGTTATTGTTACTAATAAGCAAGATTACATTAGTTAATTACTTTCATTTAGTTAATTGTTCCCTATTATTTCATTAATTCATTATGAATTCAATTGCTACGCAAACCCAAGTGCCGATCAATGAACTTCTCAGGTAAGTCCTAGACATTAAGGTTAATTATGAGATTCTAATTATATCTTTACTTTTCAGTGAATTGAATTTGGCAGTACCTCTTTCTGCAAAGATTGGCATTATTTTCCGTGTTATGGAATCTTATCCAACATTGGATGGTTCGGACAGAATTTTGCTTAAGCAAAATATTATGCTACAAATAAAAAGACTCATTGACGCTGGTATCACCACCAAGATGATTGGATTTCGCTCTAAATTGAATGAGTTGTTTGATCAAATTGACCAAATAACGGCTCAATTTGACGAGCTCAAGGAGAAAAATCAAAATCTGGAAGAGGAAAACGCAATGTTGAAAGAAGCTCTCAAAATTCAACAAGGCCCAGAGGGTGAAAAAGAAGTTAAATTTATAGATTGGGCTCTTAGAAGACTCAACTATATCTATGGAATTAAAAGGGAAGAGTTCCCAGCCTCCTCAAGGTCCCTTTAAAATTTAATCATTATAAAAAAATTCATGTGAAAATTTCATCGTTTAATCAATTAAAACAGTTCATTCCATCGCAATGTATATCTTCATGTTTTTCAAAAACCGCGCGTAAAAAATGTCTAGAAAAAAATTCTGCAAAAAATTTCGCCCCTGAAACTTTGTCTCAGAACGGACACTTTGTCCCAGAGTGGTTGTCCTAGAGCGGACAGTTTGTCCCAGAGCGGACGGTTGTCCCAGAACAGGGCTTTTATTAACTACTCACCTGATTGTTGCAACAATAATTAACTGTTACAACAAAGATACCTCGGTAATTAATCATAACAACATTAATTTTATAAGTTTAATAAGTTCAGCAATAATTCTATTCGACTAATTGGTTATATGATGATTATTAGAATGGAAAATATAAACTAATTCAAGCTATCAAAAGGGATTACTCCGATTTTCAAGTTGCTGAAACTGAATCTGAATTCCAAGATAAATTTTCTGTGGCTGAATGTAAAGATTTCACCAGTGAAATGACTCTTAGCATTCATCTCGAATGTAAAGGTAATATCGCATTTTTCAGGTTCTTTTCGTGAATTAATTATGCTAACTTGAAACAATCCAATCTAATCATACGAAATTCATAGAACCTGATTGTATAAAACTAGCTGAAGAGCACGTGCTCTTACTTAAAGAGCGCGTCAAAGAAGCAATATTTTGGAATTATGAAATCAGTGCATTGAGACTAAAGGAGATGGACGTTTCTTTCAGTACTTCGCGGATTGATTTAATGATTGATTTTCTTGAGGCACCAAATATATTAGGTAAATATAAAATATGATGATTTGATTCTGTTGAATATTGATCACCAATACGATTGAAATACAAATTACAGGGTGGCGAGAAAGTGTAAAATTGAATCCATGTTACATGTAATGAGGTTATCGAAAATGATAAAATTATCAATATTGTCTCTTTTTAAAGAGTTATAATTTTATCAAATTCTCATTTTCTGTGTGACATTAACCATTGAGAGTTTTTGACAATCTTCATTTTTAACTTCTCTAAAATCATTGTCATTGCAGATGCATTGTCACCAAAAACGTATCGAGTCAATTATGATACATTGAAAACACTATCTCGAACTAGAGCAGCAAGTGAACTAGAATGTCTAAACCAATTATCAAATGATTTTTCTGATTTCGAGTAAGTTTAATTATGAGAACTTTTAGATAGTCTTATTTCATGACTTTTTTTGTTGCACAAAGTGTTGTACTCTTTTGTCCTGGGGTTAATATTTGTGGTACCATAAAGGGATCGAAAATGTTGAAGATGCTGAAAAGGTCATGCCTGTCAAGTGTTCGAAATACCATTGCACAATTTAAATCGAATGATGCGGGAAATTTCAAACAAAGATCTTCAGTCCCATTTACTCAGAGATACAGCTTACAAAACAATCTCGCTGACGAATGGATACCATAGTAAGTTACTATTGGCTTTAGTTTTCGTATAACTTACAATCTACCTTTTTTCAGCGTATTTCAAGTATAAGATGGTCGATGTACTAGATGTTACTCGAGATAAAACTGACCATTCAAACGATATGTTCTATCTTATTCATGCCAACGAGATACTGAAAGCCGATGATCCAAATGTTGTCGTGGTGCCGAATGTGAAGACATTTGCAGACTGTTATCGAGCTTGTAAAAATTCAGATGAATTAAACTGTCGAACTTTGTCTTATTGCTCAGGTGATAAAACAAATGAGTGCCTTGTTACGAACATGGTACCAAGCGCAGCTCCAATTGATGAATTCGAAAATAATCCCAAATGTGGAATCTTCACTGAAAATCCTGTACTCCATTATACAGTGAATAGAAATCGACGATTTAAATCACAAAGCTCGCTCTCAGAGGAATTGTGGCTTTATCAATGTGCCTCCAAATGTGGTTCAGATAATCACTGTCACTCTTTCCAAATTTGTGGTTCAACTTGTACTTTAAATGAAGCATATACCGATACTGCCACCGAATATAGTGATACTTGTGACATTTACATTCGTAAGTATAACGATTAAGTGCAAAAGAAAACTGAGTATAACTTGAAAATTTTGCCTTTTTTCTTTAGCTAAAGTTGCAAATGAATATTTTGCCACAGGACATAAACTTGTCACGGAAGTTTTTCACACTGAGTATAATATAAATCACGATCAATGTGCTGCGTTATGTTTTAGCAGGATTGGTGGTACAGAACCTTGTCAATCGTTCAATTTCTGTCCCAAGGGTCGATCAACAAGTACTTGTTCATTATCTAAGTTTTCAGTGAAAGACTCGAAGACTAAAACTCATGAAGAAAAAAGTTGTTTAAATTACGGCCTAATCGATCCATTTAGACACGAATATTCAAGTCCAGTTATTAATGTGAAGAAAGGAACCAGTGGATCAGCAGCATTCGTAATCATCTTGTTCTTCTTAGCCACCGGTTTCTTATTCGGCATTGGAATTCCAATTGCATATTCAAAGATAAAAACATTGACCATTCGAAGTGGTCAAAGTTCAAACGATAATTATGCTTGGACACGGCAGATGGATGAACAACCATTAAACTAAAAAAGTGTCAATCGGTGAATACTAAGGAATTGATAACTAAATATTTTAACATTTGTATTAAAGTTAAGTTGCAAATGAATATTTTGCCACAGGACATAAACTTGTCACGGAAGTTTTTCACACTGAGTATAATATAAATCACGATCAATGTGCTGCGTTATGTTTTAGCAGGATTGGTGGTACAGAACTAATATTACCAATTAAAAAAATTTTCTCGGGGGAATAAGAATCTATTACATTAAAGATCAAGCAAAATTTTCAAGCGAAACAAAAAGTTGCAGTTAAAACTACGAAGATTCTATGAAATATTCTGGTACAAATCATATTTAAAATAATGTCTCGAATAGTTACTAAAATAGTTCGAACATGATATCAGCACTCGTTTATGCAAATCCTCACGAAAAGATTCATTAACCTGCGAAAGTGTATGGCAGGTAATTTGAAAGATTGATTGACCGAGAAAAAAGTAAGAAAATGATTTAAGTTGAAGTTTTTCGTATCATTGCTTATAAAAGTTCATTTCTCATACGATAATAAACAATGTTGACCTTGGCGTTCAAACTAATCGGCCAGGGGTCAGGTAAGACTTTTGCAACTTCATTGTTCATTGAATATAAACGCAAGCATTTGGCTTATTATTAATATCTTCCAAGGGAAATAATTCAAATGCATTGATTATTAATTGGTTAGATGAAAGCCAGAAAAGTTATCAATAGCAATGGAGTTTATTCAGCGATTATCAATGAATATTTATAGTAAAAATATTATTTAATTTACTTAATTTTTTCAATTGTAATTTTAAGAGTTACATTAATTATTGATTTAGATCAAGTTGAAACTACCAATTGCCTTTTTGGATGGAGATTCAATTAGCTTCTGGCTGTTCATCGTCTACTTGTCGAGTCCAAGTGAAACTTTGACCATTCCTTGAACTTTGAGTACTTCGATTTTTTATCTTCAAATACGCAATTGGAAGTCCAATGCCGAATAAGAAACCAGTGGCTATGAAGATCAAAATTATTCCAAATGCTGCTGATCCGCTGGTACCTTTTTTTACCATGGGAGTTGATTGTTTTTTCGTATTCGAGCTATTAACTAGTTCGTAATTGTAACAACTCGTTGCATCTGTGGTTGCAGTCTTCGAATCTTTGACCGAGTATTTCGACAATGAACAAGTACTTGTCGATCGACCTGATGGACAGAAGTTGAACGATTGACAAGAGTCCGAATCATCAGTCCAACTGTAACACAAAGCAGCACATTGATCATAATTTAAATTGAATTCGACGTGAAAAGTTTCCGATACAAGTTTTCTTCCTGTGGCCTGATACATATTCGAAACTTTAGCTAAAGAAAATAAGAAAACAATAGTCATATTAATAATTGGTCATGTTTGGTTAAATCTTTCACTAATTAGACTTACGAATGTAAATTTCGCATTCAGAATCATATTCGGTACTCGAATCTGTATAAAATCCACCCATGGTACAAGTTGAGCCACAACTTTGGAATGAGACACAGTTTTCATCTGAACTACATTCTGCTGCACATTGATCGACAAACAATTCTAGTGGGATCGAAGATGGTGATTTGAATTGGCGATTTCTGATCACTGAATAATCGAGTAAATTGTTTTTGGTATAAACTGCGCAGTTCGAGTCACTCTTGGTCAGATCAATTGGAGCTTTTTCGGAGGTCATATTCGTCACTGCACATTCACTTGTCTTCTCTCTAGAACAATAAGAGAAAGTTCGACATTCTAATTCGTCTGAGTTTTTACAATTTCGATAACAGTCGGCAAATGTCTTCACATTCGCCACAACAACAACATTTGGATCTCCAGCTTTTAATTTCTCTCCAGAATGAGAAAGGTAAAACAGATCGTTTGAATGGTCGGTTTTGTCTCGAGTTTCATCCAAAATATCAATTACTTTGTAATTGATTGAAGCTGAAGAAAAAGGATAAAATGGTTAGAAATTAAGACAAAAAGTTCGATATAAAACCTACTCCAGGATTTATCAGTCAGTGAGACAGTTTTGTAAGCTGTATCTCGAAGTAAACGGGACTGAAGATCTTTGTTTGAAATTTCTCGAATCATTCGATTTAAATTGTGTAATGGTATTTGGAAGACTTGACAGACTTGACCTTTTTCAGCATCTTCTTTGACATTTTCGATTCCTTTCATGGTACCACAAGTATTACGCGTTGGACAGAAGAGAACAACACTTTTGCAAGAACATAAAACAATAAGAAAATTAATTCAATCTAATAAAAGTTATTATTATTAAACTCACTCGAAATCAGAATAATCAGTTGATAGTCGGCTTAGACAGTCAATTTCTCCTGCAGTTTTAATAGTTCGTGACAGTGACTTCAAAGTACCATCGCTAACAAAATATGTTCTGGGGGAAAATACATCTGATACGAAAGAGATCGAATTTTTGTTAAGTGGGAAACGACGGTTGAAAATAGCAGTTGGGTTATAATGTATTCACCTAGTAGATTTGGTGCTTCAAGAAAATCGATCCTGATATCAATCGTCGAAGTACTGAAAGTAACATCCATTTCACTTAGTCTTAATGGACTGAGGGGATATCCGTAGAGTAGTGAATCTCTCAAGCGGTCTGTCAACGTGTACACATTATCTTCAGCGAGCTTCATACAATTCGGTGCTAAAAGTTTGACCACATGAAAAGGTTAATGCTTTAATATTCGGCCTTCAATTTCAATGAACAAACATTTTCTTACTTTGACATCCTAGTTGAAAGGTAAGCGTCTTTTCACCAGAGAAATATTTACATCCAGCTAATGAAAACTTATCATGAAATTCGGATTCAATATCTGAAACGCGGAAATCCAAGTAATCTCTCTGAATAACTTCAACAAGTTGATACTTCTCTTTCTAATATTAGATATTAATAGAATTAATCTTCAACGAGTCAATCAAGAACTTAGCATTACATTACCTTGGCATCTAACTTGTAACAGTTAATTATCGTTGCAACAAGCATGTATCCACGAAAAACGCTATTATCGGTCTAAATGATTTAGAAAATAATAATTAATAAAAGCTTTTTCAAAATACAGCGAAACTTTGAATTGACTAATCAATTCAAAACAAAAAAGAGGAAACACTTTGTAATAATATAAATTTTCTGTAGCATGACCTTTACCCCAAAATCTATCAAATATTGAAAAATTTAGATCCTATTTAACAGTTTTCTGACAAAAGTTTGTTTATTTGAGAGACCCGAATATTTAAATGCTAAGATACTTTGATCAGAATCATTTGTTATAAAACTTTTTTTCTTAATAATCGGGGATTCGGTTAAACCAATTCTGTCATAAATTCACTTCTTTCTTTTCTTTATTTTTCTCTCGATCTCTTTTTAAAATTGACCGCTTCACGATAGGGAAATTTAACTATTTCATATTGGCAGAATTTCTCATGAATGGATCCTCAGATCATTATATTCACACCTCATGGGAATTTAGACTTAATTTTTTGATATCAAGTTATTGCATAGAATCCTCGTAGTTTTAGCTCAAGTTGTTACGAAATTTCGCTTATCTTAATCATTAATGCAGAAGATTTAAACTTACAGTTTCAGTGAAATATTGAGTAACCACAACCTTATCGTATTTGTCGTTATTAGTAATAGTATCATACTGGATTGATTCCCATGCTTTCACCACGAATCCAGGTCGATATTCCTGAGAAAAGAAACAAAAAGGAGTTTTGATTATAAACTAATCGTCAAAGATTAACTTGCATGTTTAACTTACAAGGTACATTTCACCTAAATACTTGTAATGTCCTTCCAACATAAACAATGTTATCAAACTAAATTGACCAGTGGATTGATCAATACCAGGTGATGTTTTTTCAGCTAACATGATGTTACAAGATCCGCCATCTTGAAATATATTAACTATTCCAAGTGAATAGTCATAAAGAGCTTCCGTTTCAATGCCAAGAAGTGATGTTTTCAAACGCATCAATTTGAGCTTACCATCAGCATGTATCTATTAATATAAAAGAGAGTTTAACATTATTATCGGATCGGCGATGACTTAATCCGATCTCTTACCTCGCTGATACTTTTAGTAGTTGTTGGACCAGTAATTGTTTCCGAAAGTATGAAATGGACAAAATAGAAATCCAACATCGGAAGAGGTAAAGTATCTTCATAATAAGCTGAACAACCGAGTCCTGGAAGTGGCTGTGAAACAAAGGCGATTGATAAGTTCACTACTGAAGAGCTTTTGATGAATTATCTTACGTTGACAATTTTCGATAAATCTTTAGTCGAGTCCATCTCTTGTAAGTAAATATCCAAAATTAGATTTTCTTTCGTTGAATATGCTTCAGATGGGTTACTCCCACTGAAAGCAATTCGACTCGGTGCTTGTAGACCTGATTGTTGATCCAAATTAGCTGATTTGATAAGGAAAATGTCAGGAAAAAATTGAAAATTAATCAAAGATAATAACCAAAATCAAAGAAGTGATAATTAACTTAATTTGTATAATAAGTTGATATTGGTTTTGAAACTTTTCATCATTGTGCCTCTCATTTTTATCCGCACTCTTTCCTGATTTGTTGATTAGATTGAAAATCGAACCATTAGTTAGATAGTAATTTTTGTGATTGACTTAATATTCAACGTTACCCAAAATAGTGATTCATGTCCGAGACGATAAAGTATCGATGGTCCCATGGCTACTAACAAACTCGTCAATCGCTTATTGATCCCAGGTAAGAGTTGAGAGCTCGACAATTTGTATAAAAAACAATCGATACCTTATTAGAAAAAAGTCAGCACTTACTTTTAATTTAATAAAAAGTGATAATTAATCTAATTAGTTTGGAAACTTTACCCATAATCACTTGACGCTCATAACTGTCCTTCCCGTTTCCGTCCTTCATATTGTAATAAACATTGAATGTATTTTTAGGTGAATCAACTACAATCATTCCGTTAATTGTTGATGTCGATGAAATAAACTCTTGCATAAAGTATCTATCTCCATTGCCCTGTTAATAGTAACAATCAGCTAATTTAGTAATAGTTTCAATTTGCAGATTAAAACATTGATTAATATTTACCAAGTCTTTTAACGTTGCATGAATAATGTAATTACCCCTTGGTAGATTCAACGGTAAGTCCATCAATGAAGTAATTGACGCTGGTAAAATAATTTGATTGAAATATTAATCAATTGCTAACAATTAGCTAAGTTTAATATAAGCTTACCTGAATTACCAGAAATAATCATCAAAAAAACACTTAACAATAAAGGTAACATTTTCAAGCTGATACTTGGTGATGGTGACACTTTTTTATGCAGCAACTTGTTAACGTAGTTGAATTGTAATGAATAGGTAGTAAGTAGATAATTGTTTTAATTGTTTATCAATAAATTACCGGTTAAATTGTGATAAGATTTGTAACAATTTGATATCATTATCATTACCAGGCAAAAACAACGCCTTTCGTTTAAGCAACGTCGAAGACCAAAGGAGTGCGGCAAAGGCCATGGAATTAGTTAGACCTTAATGCCTACTTTTATATAAAGAAAATTGCCCTGAGATCATTTTGAAACCATTTTAGACATTCTTTTTCAAAATTTCATCATTAATAATTAGAAGATTTCAGAGTACAAATTAATTTCGAATGTACAATAATTAGGAAAACGTTGTGCGAATAATTACTTTAATTGTTGAAACTTTCAAACGACAATAATGGATTTGCTGATAATTAAACCGATAATCAAATCATTTGCTTGATAATAATTAGCAAAAAAGGATATCAAAAAGAGTAGGAAATTGGCCAATTGCACAATTAAGACAATCAAATTTACTGAGTAAACATGATTTACTGAATACAAAAGTTTCTTCAATTTTTACTTTTTGAGTTGTTGAATTTCTGCATAGAGATGCTGTAAGTGTACAGAGACTAATTTTGTTAATTAATGAGACTAATTAATCAGATGAGATCAGTTTTTGTTTTCATTTTTGGAATCAGCATAAAAAGCTGAGTCAGAAAATAAGCGAAAATTTTTTGGGTGAAGGATTTAATATGCCCTTATCAACTATAACTAATCATTACTACTATTTTTGATTATCTAATCAGCGTAACAACTGTAGAGACATCTGATGAATTTAATTCTAATCTATTCTTTTGGAGGCATTTTCAACAATTAATTGCAAGTAAATCAATTGAATGGTTCGAGCAATACCATTGTTATGATCTGTTTAGGTTCTGATGATTTGGTGATTTTTTCACGAACTCAGCATGTGACCAGTGGAAGCAGAAATAGAAAAAGTTAATGAGAGTAAGGCGAAGAGTTGGCGTAACTGCCGATTTGCCCACCGACGTGATAAAATTAGTATTTATCACGAACAGATTACCGAAGGTAAATCCAACATTTTTCCAGAGCGTTCGTTGTATGAACATATTAAAAGAAACATCTATTTCATATTACATAAGCATGTTGATAACTCATCAAAAGATAAAAGTAATGAACAAATCAATATTGGAACTTATATAAGTATATTAAACTTTAGCCTAGTGACGAAATAAATCAATAAATAGCCACTTCATGATCATTTTCAAGCTGATGAATGAGATTCAATGGAATTTCTTATTGAATTTTATTTCAGTATTAAATCAAATTGAACAAGACAGTAAGTTATCAATTTGGCTTATATTAATACATGTATTTTAACTCGCAAGTAAATGACAATTGATGAGATTTTGAGATTTTATTGCGACGGGAAATCATTTGTGAAGGAAATTGGCCAGAGTAATGCTTATTGTAAGTGTCAATGTGAACATTGAAGTGATGAAATTGGTATTAATCACAAATAAATTTCAAAAGGTAAATCCAACATTTTCCAAAGGATCGATTTATGAAGATGTCATGCTAATTGTGTAAATAGAAAAGAGATTATCAGTAATAGAATCAATCTGATCATAAGTGAAATTTACCTCGTGTTGTAATTGTTGTGACTTTGGTGAGAAAGAGATATTGTATAAGTCTTCTAATCCATAAATCGCAATTTGATTGATCGAAACCAGTCGAGCTGTGAGGTAGGCGATTAATATGAAATCAGCAACCATAAAAAGAATCCAAATGAAATTGAAGTTCTTTAGATGACCAAAAGTATCAACGACATTTACAATTCCAAATACTCCAGCGTGAATATATAATATGGTTATGAAATATCGAGCGAACTTTTCGATTGATTGTGAAGCTAATACGGCGTAACTATAACCTAATCGAATCTTTCTCAATTTTTCTAACATGATTGCCGGGGTTTCATGACAGGAGAAGTTTTTAATATTCTTATTTATCGAGTCAAAAATAGCTTCTAAACAAATACAAGAATCAATGACTATGTTTAAAAAGAATGAATTTCCAATATCGAAGCAAACATGAAGAGAAAATTTTACAATCGATGGCAAACTTAAAAGTTTACTATCAAAATGTTTTGGAGAAAATATAGAGAGAATATGGAAAGAAAGTATCAATGTTATTAGATAAATGTATTTAATTCGACGTTTTCGCTTTATGATCAGAACAGAATTTGTATCGAGACTAAGATTACTAAGATAGCGAAAGTAATCACGAAAGCTTGACCAGTCTAAAGAGAACACAACAAATAGACGTGAAATCATTATTAGAAGCATAATTGATCTACGTGCCAACATGAACGAAAATAGTCCATTCGATTCGATGTAAAACTCGTACCAATCAGCTGATAGAAAAAGTGATTGGATCAAGCCAATGATACCGATAGCCACGATTAGGAACCATTTAGGTAAAGATGAGAATATCCATCTCGATGGAAATATAAAACCAGCAAGAATAATTGAATTATTAATTTCACTCGGACCATTAGAACCTTCCATGTCTTTGATTACTCCACGATTAAACTGATTTAATATTACTAAATCGGAACTAATCCTTTCTCTATGATATGTACTACAGTATAAGTAATATCGATTCTCGACTACTGTGCAAGTCCGCAAATGATTGATCTCTTGTTTCTGTTTCTAATGAAAAGATTTCCTGGATTTAATTTAATCGCCAAAGAGAAGTCTCCTGTTGATTATTTTGTTCGAGCAGGTAGTCAGTGAATAGTTTCGACATAATCAATGAATGATTAGTTGATATCAAAATATATTGATTCTCATCAAGCTTTCATTGACTTACACCAATTTAAAGGATTATTTTAAAGTTCGTCATTTACATAATATAAACGATAAAATGAATGATCAACAAATTGATAACAACAGGAACAGATCGAGAGCTCTAGAAAATTTAGATGTTTGATTTTAAATCAAAGGACAACAGGCGTTTCTTTCTAAAATTTTTATATTTTTCTGTTCATTTTCTGGTTGAGCTCATGCATAGATTAAAAAATTTTCGTATTTTTAATTTGGGCTGAAACTTTTCAAAATAATAAAAAATAGGCAATGTTTTCGCAGCTCAATGAAAAACATTGTCCAAAAAGTGACCTACTCTTCCGAAAATGGAATCATGACTCTTATCAAAAATTTCAATGTTTAATCTATCGATTGATATATTTTTTATAATCCTAAGTAATTTAACTTTCGAGAAATAATGAATCAAAATTTGAGTCCAACCTTTTGTCGACTAGGTTAATAGTTTGAGATAGTGATTAAAAAAATCGAACAACTAATTAAATCAAGAATTAAAAATAAAGTTCCCTACGATAGTGTGGTCCAACCTAATCATATTTTTTTATTCTTTTTAAATTATACTCTCACTAATCAGCCTTATGGTACCTGTAAAAAAAACTATCTATCAATTCATAGATGAATATTGACATGTTGGGTAAGCACAACAGGTAGTAAACTCGATCTTCAGGATAATAAATAGCGAGGCGAATCTATTAATAGTAAAATTTATAATCTCGAGGGTTCAGAACCCAAGAAAACTCCTTACATCAATTTTCTTACGTGTCATTTGTTAATTACTTACTGCATTAGTTACTTGGTCAGTATTTTGATTAATTTAGATCAGTTTAGACTGTTTTCTCCGAAGTTGGGTGGAAAATTCGAAGGACATAACGCGTGGGGATAAGTTTTTAACTTTTGTTTTAATTTTAATACAATAATGTATTAATATTTGAAATTTTGAGAAAAGTTACATGTTATCTATTTGATGAACTAGCCGGAGGACTTTTTTACAAACCTCTTATAGAGATATAATTCTAGTTTAAAGATCCAAAGTTTAAATCTCTCAATGAAATAATTTTCTCAAGAAATAAATCAAACAAAAATATAACAGATGAATAAATATTTCAAATTTCAAAGAAAAACTGATAAATTAATCGATTGGTCCATAACAAATCATAATATATTCATATTCTTCAATTATTTCTCGTAATATTTCAATTTCATCTTTTTCGTCCAATTCGATCTCTTTAATTGGAATCAATTTACTTCGATTAACTATCGATATTAAATACCGTAATTGTATCTTTTCGTCTTTTATCGATTCTAAATTCTCTTCGTTTTCTTTGATCTTTTCTTTCAATTTCTCAATTTGTGAGTTAATTTCCATCTCGAAATCTTTTTTCATTCCAAGTCCAAACTCGTTAATTTGTTTGGTGAATTTTCCATCAGCGTTAAAGCTAAAAGGAGTTCGTCTATTAGGTCGAAAATTATCCAACAATTTACCAAGAGTTTCCAAAACATAGCAAAACTCATTTAGAGATTGATCAAACAAAAAACCGCTAAGGTAGTTTTCTTGACCAGTAATCGGTCGCTTAAGTTTCAATGTGCTCATTGATCTTTTCATCATTTCCATTCCACTCTTGATAATAATCATTTGTCCACGATTAGTAACTTTACGATTGAATCCATTGATCATCTCCTCGAAATTTTCTTCAATATAATCTCTAATAAGGTAGCTCTTGCCGAGACGAGCACGAACCATTATTTTTTGTAGTTCCGGAAATGTGGCTTTAAGTGGCTTTTTTGGCTTGTAACGGTAAAGTCGATATTCTAATGCATCTCGATCATAAGCTATTTTGATCTTAGCCAAACATAAACGATCAGCTAAGTCAAGAGATATTGAATGCAGCTCATCAACACTGAAATCTGAAGTAGTCGCAGCTTCAATGACATCGACCATATTAATGAACTTATCACATACTTCCCTCGGTTTTCTGTCCTGGAAAGCGTTCCAGGGCAATGTATTAAGATAATGAATATACTTGATTAGATGGATCAAAACTACTGTAAGGTGTTGATGTGGATTCGAGTTCAGCTCCTTGTAAATTATATCGTCTCTTATAAATCCATCGGGAACATCAACCGTTGGTCCGGGTAATAGTCTACAAGTTAAATAATAAGCGCTAT